AGAAGATTCAGATCCAACCCTGATGTGGGAGTCCCCTCTATGTTCTGTGATTATCATTAATGGATAAAGAAACTGCCTTGGCCTATTGATAGGGCAGAACTTAGGAAGGCAGGAAAGATAGAACTGAATGCTTGGAGAAAGGAAGCAGATTCAGAGAGACACCTTGGATCCACGACTGGAGGTAGATGTGCTGAAACATTGCTGGTAGACCACAGCCTTATGGTGATTTACAGATTAATAGAACTGGGTTAAATTAAGATATGAGTTATCCAATAAGAAGCTAGAGCTAATGGATCAGGCAATGATTTAATTAATAAAGTTTCTGTGTCATTATTTGGGGGCTAAGCCAGTAGGGTGACCAGGAGGAACAAGTGGGCCTTCCTCCTACATATCCTTTGTTTAGAAAGTTGGTTACAAATTGTTATGGATAATGGTCAGGAGAAAAGCTAAACAAAGCATATTAGATTCAGAGTTTTTTTAAGGGGGGGAAGTACTGTGGGACAATGGTTTGTACCCTGTCAATTGTATTTTAATAAAATGCTGATTGGCCAGTAGGCAGGCAGGAAGTACAGGCAGGACAACCAGACAGGAAGTAGAGGTCGGTCAATGAGAACAGAATAATTCTGGAAAGAAGGAAGTCCTAGTTTGCAGTCGTGACCCAGAAACAGAAGAAGCAAGATGTGACTGCCTCGCTGTATAAGGTACCAAGCCACGTAGCTAACATAGATAAGAATAATGGGCTATTATAAGTTATAAGAGTTAACAAGAAGTCTGAGCTATTATGCCAATCAGTTTATAACTAATGTCTCTGTGTGATTTCTTTGGGACTTAACAACTACAGTTACTGGGAAGGACTAAACCTCAGACAACACAGCCCTAGCTTGATTTCTTTGTACTTTGCTACCAAGGTGTGTGATAGATTCAACAATACACTATTAGCACCAAATAAATACTTTGTCATGAAAATTACATTCAAATGATTATTGTCATTGTAGTTATTATTTTCAAATCTCCTGTGGTGAACTAAGGAAGTTATTTAGATCCTACGTCCAATTTTTGATGAGTTAATTAAGGTAGAGTTAAATAACAGGAACTGGCAGGATCCAACAAGACAACACAGAAGCTACTCAACTCAACCATTCTTGAAATTTACCAATTCATTGCTTTTTTCTCGTTTCTATCAGTTATACATGGGTTGTCATTACAAACATCCTGCTATACAACAATATCTGTATAGATTTATATCCTGGGGCGAAACTCCTTAAGACTTGGGAGATAAAAAGAAAAAGGAACTTGACAAGATTCAGTAAGCAAAAAACTTAAAAGTCTCTGGTTCCTGAAATTTGCAACATTCACAAGCTCCTTTCCAACATTATGTAAGCAGTAACAAGTGCTTGGATGAAGTTACTGGCTTGGTCTGTATTCAAAGGATGTGGTTTTCATGAGTCATCACCCACTCTGAGATAGGCTTTCCAATGATTAAAGCCATGCTCCAGTAAATATTCTTATTAGAATACTTATGTTTCTGTAATGTAATAATAACAACAATAAAAATAAACCCAGAAGTCAGTGGTTTACCAAATTTGATTTGGGTGGGGTCATTAATTTGGTCTGTCATCGGACTCCTAGCTGTGGTAAAAAGATACTTGCTCATATTTCCTTAGAAAAAGTTACACATCACCACATCTGTGAAGGGACTGAGAAATTTGAATTTGTGACCAATTCAAACAAAGAGTATGTGATTTGGCAGTCTGCTGTTATGTATGGTGTTTGAAGTAGAGGAGGCAACCTTGCTGCACTGAACAGTAAATCAGTGAGGACTGTGCTAATGCTGGACATTGAATTTGATTGTAAAACACCGAGCCTACAGCTTAAAAACCAGGAAACATCTTTGGTATTGAAATCCCACACCATTGCTCCCAGAAATCTCATAAGCAGAGAAACATTTTTCCTCTTCTGTTATAAAACCTTAGCATAGGAGTTTAAATAAAATGTTTTCTGACCTTAAATAGCTTGTCTCTAAATTCTAGTGGTTGTGTTTTTATTGTTAATAGAATAAAATAGTTTATTTGGTTCCTCCATTTCTTTTAGTAAATCTACTGCTTATCTGTTCCCTTTGAGTTAATTTGTCTCTAGTTTTAAGGTTTCAGTTGTCCTAAGATGATATTATAAATATGAATTCTATTCAAGCTTAGTTTCCTTTGGCTTCTTTATTTGGTTGGTTAATTGGATTTTTTAAGTCAAGGTTTGTCTTATCACCCAGGCAAATATAGAACTCTGCATCTTCTTGCCTCTCCCCAGGTAGTGTAGAGATTGCTGAAATGAGTGTCTCCCTACCATGCCCAGTATCACCGCCTGATGAAGGTCAATTTCTGTACCATTGGTTTTGAATCATGAATTCAGAGTTCTGCTGACTTTCACATGCTCTGATTGTTGCCCATACCAAATACAATAGTAAACAATTCTGGAAACAAATGCTCTATACTCTGCATTAAGAAAGCATGAATATTAACCTTCACATGCCTATACTCAATGGCATGCAAGCTTTCCAATAAATGGAAAATAATATTTAGTAATAATCTCCTGGAAACATCTTTGAGGTTTCCTAGTAAAGAAAAGAAAATGTTAATAAAAATTTGGAATAAACATTAGATCATTACAGATTTTTTTCTGCTCAATTATCCACAACTTTATTAAAAGTGCCATTAAAAATCCACAGTTCCATAATTTCCAGGTCTTCTAAACAATGACTTTTAGGCTTTGCCAGAAGGAACCTAAATAGCAGTCTATTATGCTAACTTCATTCTTTGAATTTCTAATTAAATCTCAGTATCATATAAGTACAATTATCTTCTAAATATTTATTATTATTAAATTCTATTTTTAATCAGAAAGTTAAATTTAGAAGAGGTGAGTATACCTAAATGTAAGTGTCAAGTGGCATCGATAAAAATGGATTGGTGCATAATTTACTGTTTATTATAGGGTTAATAAAAGTAAATATATGCCAATATGCCAGAAACAATGCTTAAAGTGGTCAGAATTCTTCAAACACATATAATCACCGCCAATGGCTTAGCAAAGTAAAGCCAGGCACAAAATCTGAGCAGAGATAGAGAGAAAGAGAGAGAGAGAGAGAGAGAGAGAGAGAGAGAGAGAGAGAGAGAGAGAGAGAGAGAGAACGCAGAGTCAGAGGAATACCATGTAGCCTCTGAAGGAATAACATGCTGCACCAGTAAGCAATAGTGTCATGGTGATACATAGATTAATAGAAAGTGATTGGTGTAAGATGTAAGAGCTAGATAAAAAGATGCCTAAATCATTGGCCAATCAGTGTTGTAATTAAAAACATGTTTGTATGTATAGTCCTAGCAAAAGATTCATTGTTGAGAAATTGGCTCACACTATCCCCAAGACTGACTAATATACACAGTGAGACTGCAGGTTGGAAATCAAAAAAATGGGGTGCCAAAATTGGTGCTGAGAAATGAGGTTCTTGCCCTGATAAGTCTGATTTTTGAATTCTTAGACCTTTGCAACTGTTTTGTGCTGAAGCATGGAAAGGTCTACACTTTGGGGCTAGAAAAACCCAGCCTACTACAATCAGAGCATAGTCGGCTCTCTTGGGGACCCTAGAAAACAAGAACACTGAGAGAAATGTGGACACTGGAGACCTGGCTCATGAAATTTCAGGGGATATTTGATTGTTTCCATGATAGTTTTTGGCAAAGAATATGACTTCGTTCTGCTCATGTCATGAAAACCCGAGTGAAAATCATATGCTTAGCAGAGAATATTTTGAGACTGGAGAGCATCAAGGTTAGTGTTAAGACAGCAACTGCAATTGTTTCAGAGATCAAGCTGATGATACACCTGAGCCAATGGAAAGGTGCCCTGGGGCAAAACTTTACCCACTGGAGGCTTCATTTTGTAAAGATCTAGATTCATCTAAAGAAGGAAAGTCTAACTTGATGGGGTTCCTTTACCCACGAAAGAAACCAAGTAGGAAACTGTATCCATTTAATGAGCCCGTAAAAGCTGACACAGCCATGGTCTAAGGAGGCTGGCAACATCTTGAGGTAGCAATGGAACTTGGTAATGTCATCTATGTGGCTCTGGATTTGGATGTAGAATTGAAACGGTCATGGAGTCTTGTTTCATGTTTGAAGAAAACAACTGAGGTCAGACACTGTATGTCAGGCCTAGAGTCCCCGCAAGGAGGCCTTGCAACAGCCAAGTTGATTTCTGAAGGACATGAGAGAAGAATTAAGAAAGTACCTATGCCGCTAGTTTACTGCCCATGCATTTGTATTACAATTAAAGCCATATGGCTGAGCTGACCAACTGCAAAATGAGCTTTAATGAAATAATAAGAGCAATGCAAAAAAGAATAAATAGATAGATATAAATAAATAAAAAAGAGCAATGCTTTTGGTTTGACTTGATTGTTCAGAGGTTTTATATATGCCGTCTTTATGGCAAAATCCTAAACTAGGCAAGGAGCTATAGGCAATTGATCTCTGCTGGGATAGGGAAGGTGATTTTTTTAAAGGATACATATAGCCCCTGGTAATTAACCATGTTCCAGGAAAAGGCTAGATGCATCAAAGGATGTGGGGAACACAAATTAGGTTTAATGGGATAAACAATGAAGGAAAAAAGAAAAGAATGAGAAAGGGACACATAGTTGGGTGAATAGAGAAGCAGGGATAGATCTGGATAGATTTTTGGAGAGTGGTAAATATGATCAAAGCATATTGAATGAAATGCTAAAAACTATTAAAAATAAAATTGGAGAAAAAAAACAGAGATGTTTAAAAAACTGGATTCATGTTCAAGCTGAACACAAAATGATGAAGATAACCAATCAGCAGTTTCTAGGCCTTCTGAGAGTCAATTTCTCATCTGTAAAAGCAGGAATAACAAGTCCGTATGCTTCCAATGGTTGTTATAAAGATTAAAAAATACTGTATTTACCTGAGCTCTTGTCTAGTACATACCTCCTGGAAAGTTCAGTATATGGTAGCTTGTTCCATGATCATAATAAACACTAGTAGTTAAGAATTACTTGTCACGGTGATCTACAAAATAGAAATAATTGCAAATGAAAATACTTTAATGGTGTGAGAAGTCCTTTCTGTCTATGTGTTGCTTCTATTGGATAATGAAATAAAAAGCTTTTTGGCCTGTGATAGGGTAGAATAGAGCAAGGAGGAAAAACTAAACTGAATACTGGGAGAAAGAAGGCAGAGTCAAGGAGAAGCCATGTAGCCCTGTCAGATGGATCTTTACCCAGTAAGCCACAGCCACGTGGCAATACAAAGATTAACAGATATGAGTTAGTTTAGGATGTAAGAGCTAGCTAATGAGAAACTAGAGCTAACAGGCCAAGCAGTGATTTAATTAATAAAGTTTCTGTGTGGTTATTTTAGTTCTGGGAAGCTGAGAACGAACAAGCTGCTCCTACAACACTTCAAGGACATATCCACTAATTAGAATACTAAGTAAGTACTGAAACTATAACCCAGTTTATGGTTTTATATTGTAAAGGCATTATATTACATCAAGTCTAAAACATGATGAACATAAATGCAGACTGAGGATTTTTACCAGGTTTCAGTGCCTCATGGGAAATTTTACCTAAGCCTGCCCCACTTTCCAAGCTCATCCATCTACTGAATTTAGAGAAAACTTTTTATCAGTTTATTTTCCTGAGCTTAACTAGTAAATGGTTGAACAGTACCTAATTTCCAAAACATGAAAGCTTATGGGACAGGATTCTAAATCTCCATGAAATCAAGATAAAGCTATGCTTAGTTTTGTTTCATATCCTTAAGACTTTAGTTTTGAACCTATTTTAGATTGTCGATTCAGAAGAATATGCACATGTGTTTGTAATGATGAAGAACCATTTTGTTAGGATAATAAATTACTGAAAGTTAAATCCAAGCTAACAAAACAAAGACAGATATTTCAGCACACAAAATTGAGTTTGAATATACAATTAAAAGAGAAAATGATTAATATTTCATATGTGATATTTTACGCCTACACATAAAGTTTCATGATACAGAGAGCAAACATAGTGAATACACACCTCTTATCTCCAGAAAACACGTTTGTTAGGTTGAAAAACAAGATATAAGTTATGTATATATATTTCACTGCAATGAAAAAGTACAGTTGTTACATGAAAATGTCACCAAACTGTAAATAAATAATAATTGACCCATGAGGTTCTTATTTGTCTCAGGGATTTTTTTGTGAGGCTTTTGAATACTTTTGTGATAAATAGAATTTAACTACATGAGAAAACAAACAAAAGAAATTAGAAAGTTGAATGTGTTTCGATATCTTATCCAATTTGAACATATAAACTGTGTAACACAGAGAGAAAGAGGGAGAGGGAGAAAGGGGGAAGAGAGAAATCAGGAGTGGAAGAAGAAATGCACAGAATAGAACTAGTTAATAGCAAGCCTTGCAGGCTCCTCTACCCATACACTCACAAAAAATGAAGTAGAAGTTTTTTTAAAAAAAAATGGTTTTGTTTTATTTTAACCTGATATATCAAAGCAAAAAGTGCCAAACAATTTGATGTGTTGCCTCCAGAGAGGAAGCCCAAGACAAGTGACAACATAAAACACAGTACTTACTTCAAAGAGAATATGAGATAGTGTATTCTGGAGTTAAATATGAGTGGCTATAACTCAGAAGCACAGATTTAGGTTATCCTAAATTCTGTGTTGCAACATGATAACAGTTTAATGAAGGTTTTGTAGCAAAAGAACAAAAAAATCATAAATCAAACTGTTTTTGTAATACATTGGTGGAAACAGCAGGTAGGCAGGCTATGGGGAAGCAGGAAAGCCCACGCAAAAGGTCTGGGACACTGTCTCACAGCATGCCTAGCTTTCTGCTTTAGGGATGCCAGAGCTATGGTCTTACATTTCAAAGAGATCTACTTGATAGTCACTGAGATGTTAGGTTTCACATGGAAGTGTTAAATAAATGGCTAGTTAGCAGCTAAGACAACCAAAGATAATTTCTCTGTGAATTTGCCACAATTCCAGGGCTCCACAATCATAATCCTAATGGGGCAATCATCCTTGCAAAATGCTCAGTTTCCTTAGAGGTACATTTGATTTTTTTTCGGGGGACTTCAGTTAACATTTATGACACTGGTAGTTGTCCTCACAACACTGGGATTTCAGCTGTGTACTCTCTCGGTCCCCTCTCTCTTTCTCCCTCCCTTGATTATCTCTTTCTCTTCCTCTCTTGCTCTCCCCCTCTTTTTCCTCAAGGCCAAGTCCAGTCTGCTGGCCAAGGTGAGGGTAGTACTTTCTCTAGCTGGTCTGCACTCTTCTAGCTACCTCTGACTGTGTTCTCCCCAATATCTATAATAAAGACCTTCTACTCAACCAGACATTGGAGCTGTCCTGTTATCAGTTTATATAGGCCAACTTCTAGATGTGCATTGTGCAGACAAACTAGAGTAAATGATAGAGATTTTCTTCTCTTCATCAGCACACAATCATCTGGTATCTGCTTTTTCTTTGCCTGTCACTTTATTTCCTTAAATCAGATAGAATTAGTAATCAATATGCTTTACTGACATTTTCATCATGTCCACAAATATTAATTTTCTGCACACCATTAATATCCTTCTGCCTTTGAAATGGACAGAGACTCCAGTGACAAAAAAGGAACTCTCTAAAGAAAGTATGGAAAGATACAAAGCTGTGTGACAGTCTAGAAACTATAAGGAAAAATACAAATATAAGATGCTTGTTACCCTCTTGAAACTAATGAAAGACATTTCTCATCCCTGTTTCCACAAAAAGCTCTGAGATGAAAGTTGTGTTCTTGTATCTACCCCACCACAGAAAACACAAGTCTTTCCCCTTGTTTCTCTTTCCTCTACAAATCCAAAGCACCTGCAAACACTTTGAAGACAAATTGAAGGACTTTCAACTATCTTTCTCGTAGTGATTTGCTGAGAATATAACATTTTTTTCCAATCTTTACCACTAAGTTTATGAACTGTGCTAATTTAGTATGGCAACACTGAAAAACATTTACTACCATAAGTAGATAGAATTCTCAGAGCACTTACGTAATGCCAGCTTGTCACGGTTTCCTTATGTTTGTGCACGTTTCCCGTGCAAGCCAGGTATCCATCGGATTTCAAACAGAGGCAGTTATCTGTAACTCCCTTACAGGAAATGGTTCATGAAGCCAACAATTTTGAGTTTACATTTTTCATTGTGTACTGATATAGTGGCTCAAATAACATCAACAATGAAACTTAAAATGGATTTTGATAAATTTTCTTGGCAGGTGAAAGAAACTCTGAAGTAAATTAACTTCAGAAAGAAAATTTTGATTTTAAAATAATATTTATAATTTTTCTAACTTTAAAAAATTTAATGTTTCTAAGTCTTAAAATTTAATTTTCTAAGACAAAAATTTAAATCACATTAAAAAAGAAAGAACTAGCAATTGTCTTGGGGTGTATGTGGTGTATGTGCAAAAATGTTTCAGAAGTCCTATACATACTCAAAAGTAAACAAATTAAATTTTTTTCTTTTTGAATAATGTAAGTATCTTGCTTAAATTATATATAATACTATTATGTTATTAAGTGTGCATCACAAAGAGATCTGCTAAATGACGGGTGACCCAATTATTCACGGACAGTTCATAATCCTAGGATCTAAAGCCAGTCTAACATTAACATTTTCTTCAAGAAATATTTGCTCTTAGCTGTGACTCCATGCCTGTCTGGTGAGGGAATACATTGAGAAGAAGGAAGGCTATATGCATATATTCACAATCTTTCCTATGAAAGGCATGAGGAAATAAGGTCAAGTTAGTCCACAATGGACCCAGGATTACATGACCAAGTAGAACTCAGAAGGCAAAGCTTTGATATTGCACTTTCTCTAGGAAGTCATGACCTCTAGTTCTGGTTGGTGAAATACGGGATGAAGATACCCAGACCAGAGGCAAAGTGTGCTCATCCTCACAGGATCCCCATCCTGACAGTGCGACAGCATGCGGAATGCACAGGACTCTGCTGATAGGCGCGGGAGAAGGATCCTGACTTCTGGGAAGGGATAAATGGAGTTAGGAAGCAACGAAACTGCAAGGAATACCATAGTTTTAGCTCTGTTGATCTTAGAAGAGAATCACTATGACCTGATTCTCACTGACTAAAGTTACTTTAAAGCCCCCGGAAGAGTAAAGCTGTGGTAGGGAAGCAAGGAAAAGAACTATATTCATAGCTCCGAGAGGACCTTGGGGATATGACTACTGTTGAGGACATCTACTTTTATCTTTAAGTGTGTGTCATCTGAAAACTGACATTCCGATTTCCTTGATAAAGGTGAATTGCATTTCATTCTGACAGCTGTAACATTAATATTTCAAGAAGTGCTTTTCAACTATTGATCAGGTTTCATTGGAAGAGAAGTTAAGCTTTCTGCATATATGCCCACATTTTGTGGGACATTATTCTCTGTGTTTTACATGTTCATTCGTTCCAATCAATTTGTGTTGAAGTCTTTGAACAGCTAACAGAGTTTGTCCTTTTAAAACAACTCTACTTTTTATGTTGTCATACTAAGAATACTAAAACTTTTTAATAAAAGATGAGCACTTCGCTTCTTAGTTTTCAATTTCACTGAAAAGATATAGATTCTTTAAACCAAAGTGTCAAATGATGGGTTCTGTTGTTACAGTGGTGGAAGCAATGGCAATAATCCAAAATCAAGAATTCTTTTATTTCTTTGGATCAAACCATTGCATGATAGATTCGTTTGTTACCTTGGCAAAAGATGGGATTGCAGATTTCAATGGTGATGGCAAAGGCAATAATTCAAAATGAAGAATTCTATTTTTCAAAGAAAGTGAATCCGGGAAGAATTGAAAGTGTGAATGTTATCAAAACACATTTAAGAATCCTAAAACTCTCAACTAATATAAAAAGAACAGAAGAAACACTGTTTTCTCTTGATATTGTTTTTGTTCACTTTATAGATTTGATTTCACTATGTATTAATGGAAAGAAAAAAAAACTATTTCTGGTTTGGTCCAATCACAGAGAAATCAGAAAGGTTTCTTATACAGTGGTTCCCTCTTCTCACTCAGATCATCTGTACAGGAAAATTTCAGGCATAGGTTACTATATAGGGTGTTAATAAGTATAAATTTAAAAGCCAGCACAGTGTTTCTTTGAAGAGAAATACAAATCCTACGAAGAAAGCTACAGAGGTCACCTCTTGGCAAAATGAAGGGTTAGAAATGTACTACTTGCTGAATCACAGAGACTCATGATCTTGCTCAAGTAAGAGGTCTCAGTACTAGGGCTATGATTAATCAAAATAAAACCATGCCTTTTCTTTTTTAATTAATTAATTATTTTTTAAAAAAATATTTTCTCATTTTACATACCAATCCCAGTTTCCACTCCCTCCCCTCCTCCTGCTCTCCCCACGTCCCCTCTACCCATCTCCTCAGAGAGGGTAAGGCTTCCCATGGGGAGTAAACCAGTTCAAGCACATTGCTGTGAAGTAGAACTCAGGCTCTCCCCACTGTATATATGCTGAACAAGGTTTCCCTCCGAAGAGAATAAACTCCAAAAGGCCATTTCAAGCAATAGGGATCAATACTGGTCCCACTGCCAGTGGCCCCACTGTCTGTACCAGTCCTACAGATGTCACCTACATTCAGAGGGCCTAGTTTGTTACTGTACTGATTTCCCTGTGGTCAGTCCAGAGTCAGTGAACTCCCATGAGCTCAGGCATGCTGTTTCAGTGGTTGTCCCCATTGCGGTCTTAACTGCTTTGCTCATATTATCAATTCTCCCTTTCTTTGACTGGACTTTGGGAGCTCACTCAAGTGCTTTACTGTTGATCTCTGCATCTGCTTCCATCAGTTGCTGGATGAAGGTTCTATGCTGACAAGCAATGTAGCCATCAATCTGATTACAGTAAAAAGCTAGTTCAGGAAAACAGGAAGGCTAATTGGAGATCTTCACTTCTCTCCTTGTTCCTCCAAATCCAATCCTCTGGTCTCATCTCTAGCTTTGAGGAAATGTATACCCATTTGTGTCAGCTGCAAATCCATAGGAGCATACTTTATCTGAAATCCTTAGTGGCCACACATACCAGGACTCCTGAATTCCCTACCAGACAAAACATAATCACCATGCATTCCTAAGAACAAGAGAGGGCAACAGAAACCAATTAACTGAACACTCCCCCCTTAAAAAAAAAAAAAGAACAGATTTTAGCACTGAGAATTACAATAATCCCAAGCCTACATGTCTAGATTCAGAACTAAAAATATAATCATTTACAAGCCAGGCTGTGATGTTGCACAACTTTAATTCCAGCACTCAGGAAAAAGAGGCAGGCAGATTTCTGTGAGGTCAAGGCCAGCTTGGTCTAGAACAGATAGTTCCAGGACATGCTTCAAAGCTATAGAGAAACTTTGTCTTAGAAACCAAATAAATAAATAAATAAATAAATAATCATTTACAACCAGAACAATGTGCCTCCACTAGAATCAAGCAACCTATCCACAGCAGACCCTGAGTATTCCACCTTAGCTGAAGCAGAAGAAAAAGTCCTGAAAATAGCCTTTATGAATATGATAAAGATCCTTCAAGGAATCTATGAAAATGTAAATGAACAGTGGAAGGTAATAAATAAAGCAGTTTGAGACCTGAAAGTAGAAATATAATCAATGAAGAAAACCCAAACTGAGAGAAAACTGGAACTGAAAAATTTAGGAACTTAACCTGGAAACTCAGAGATAGGCCTTAACAAAAGAATGCAAGAGATGCAAGGAAGAATCTCATACTGTGAAGATAAGAATACCATGGTCAAAGAAAATGCTAAATCTTAAAAATATCCTGACACAAATTTCTCAAGAAATCTATGATTCTATGGAAAGGCCCAATCTAATAATATTAGAAATAAAAGAAAAAGCTCAAGTCAAAGGCACAGAAAATTTTTCAACAAAATTGTAGTACAAAATTTCTATCAAGTACAAAGAGCATGCAAAACACCAAATGGATAGGATTGAAAAAAAAAATTTCCCTTGGCACATAATAGTCATAATATAAAAAGTACAGAATAAACAAAGGATATTAAAGGCTCCATGGAATAAATGACCAAGTAATGTATAAAGGCACATCTATTAGACTAATACCTGACTTCTCAGTGGAGACTGTAAAAGCCAGAGTAACCAGGACATATGCTCTGCAACTATGAATAGAACAGAGATTCCAGCACAGGATACTATAACAAAAACAACTAGTATTCAATACTTGGAGAAAATGAGCTACCCTGTGCCAAAACTAAATTTGAACAATGTCTATCTACAAATCCAGTCCTACAGAAATCAGTAGAAGAAAAAATCCAACCTAAAGAGATTAACTACAACTAAAATCACCGGGAATTAATAGCACCAGGTGGACAAATCAGGAGAGGATGGTCGCAATACAATAGAAACAAGCACAAAATAAAACATAACACCAAGAATCAATAAAGCAGAAAGGTTTTACTTTGTGAAAACGAGTAAGTTTGATAAAGCATCATCCAAATTAACTAAAAGGCAGGGAATATCAATATTAATGCAATTAGGGATAAAATAGGGGACATAACAATAGACACTGAGGAAATGCAGAGAATTACTAGGACATATTTTAAAGTCCTGTACTCTACCAAATCGGAAAATCTAAAAGAAATAGATAATTTTCCTAATACATACCACTATCCAAAATTAAGTCAAGATTAGATAAGCAACCTGTCATAGTGGCTAGCTTTGTCAAAGTAAAAACAAACTCCATCCGGAGGTTCTTTGATGCCCATAATACTTTTCTGAAGGAAATTGGCACTGTTGGGATCATATATATCCCACTGTCATGAAAGCCTTATGTTATTAAAACAGGTTAAATACCATATTCTGCAGGTATCAGAAGTGTTTGAAGACCATCTACTTATCTAAAGTTTATCTCTGCTTGATCTTGAAAAACATATATAATATGACAATAAGTTTTATGGTTACAGATGACTAACTACTAGCCTGCATTTCTTTATTATTCTAAATAGTTTTCTAGGACGAGAAAATTACATTACATTTTCAAATGATTGATTACACAGGTACAATACCTTAAGCAAGAGTAGAAACATATATAGTATG